ACTGTTTTACAATAAATACATCATTATAAATAGAGAATTTGAAAAAAATCAAAAACAGCTTAATTGTTATCGGGTATAAGGGTTTGGAACCAAAACCGCATCCGCCTTCGAACTTAGCATTGCCCAGTTGTTGAATAGAGCTGAACCGGTTCCTAACATTTTTATCAATGAGTCTGACAAGTTTTGAGGCCGGAGTTGGCAGGCTCCCCATGACGTCTACCATTGCGTTCTCGCCATAGACAATGGATGGATGCTTGAAAAACATACCGTAAAGTGAAGACTTGAAGGAGCTGAGTGATTACGCCCCAACTCGTCGTGTATCTCTGGTTGAGAAGACCGCCGGTTAGAGATTGCCAAATCTGTGAAGAGTAGGGACATGAGAAAAACAAATATTCCCGTGTTTGCAATTCTTCACTGCAAAAAACACAACCAACTCGAGCATCTCTGGACCATTTGCTGAGCCTATCTCCTGTTGCAAGCCGATTGTGGAAGGCACAAAAACCATTGTCTTAGAGAGAAAGAACAAAAACCATTTTACTTTAATCTATACTAGGGTAGTTACCCGCGCCTTGCGCGGTAAGTCGATTTTTAAAAAGAAAAAATTCAATTATAAAGCTTAATAATGGTTTACCGATTTTAAGATATGATCGACTTATTACAAATTGCTAACATAACGTGTATGGTATAAACGATTTATCCATAAGAACACCAAATAAAGCAAACATTTTTTTCAACTTCTCCATGACCCGGCCCATTTAATCATCCGACTCTGAATATATTGCATTCTTTGTAGCCCAAGTAAAAGCCATTGAGAGTGCAATATTTATAGAAAATTTGCTAGGTTATTATCCAAAACAAATGCGAACATACAATTTTATAGATAATGATAAACTCTGCATACTACCATTCCTTGATCTCTGCAAGATCGTAAAACTACGGGTAACATTGAAATATTGATGATAAAAACTTAGTTGGTCCAAAGACCGTGTTATAGTGATTGACAATACACTGAGGACTTTGTTTGTTGTGAATGACAACACTCCCGATATGTCCAAAGTATTTTAAAACAAAATATTGTTGAGTCAATAATAATTTAAAACGATAAGCTAGAGACATTCAAGGAATATATAACATACGGAAATCTTTAACATGCATTCGCCCAAAGAACGTGCCAGTGTGAATGACAATACACTGAGGACTTCGTTTGTTGTGAACGACAACACTCCCGATATTTCCAAAGTATTTTAAAACAAAATCTTGTTGAGTCAATAATAATTTAAAGCGATAAGTTAGAGACATTCAAGGAATATATAATACATGGATATAACAACACTTATATTTAGACGTATTAACCCGTATCAAAGGCATGTGTCATATAATGGGTAGGTTCAAAACAGATAAATGACAAAACTTAAAACTATCATAAAAAAAAAAGAAAGTAACTACGTCGTAATAACTAAATAAGCTCGCACTCATTATCACCCGCCAAAGAACCTCCGCATGACCGTCACCTCGGGACAAATATGATTGAATAAGAATTGCGTACACCTTTCAGTTGCTGTAACATGGATTGTTCCTATAAATAAGAAATTTTAAATCGGTTACAATATCGGAGTAATTTTTTTTAAATCCAATAATAGGGGAAAATATTATATATACCTTCAAAGAGATCCAATTTAGCAAATCTGATTATGATGATTTTGACATCATCAGCACAACGTGCCATATCGTTTATAAATCTATTAACATAGAAGTTCGGCAATCGACATGGTATGCGTATCCCACTTCATCATAGTAAAACATGTAGTTAGTAGCGTATGTAAAAAAAAAAAAAAAAAAAAAAAAAAAAAAAAAAGCAAATTAATATTTGTTTATAAAATATAGATAAAATAAATAGTCACCTTCTGTCTTCAATCTGGAAAAAAAAACGACGATTAACGCCTAGCAAAACAGACGCTCTAAAATCGATAGTACACACAAGCTTCCCAATTAGATCTGCGAATTTAGATTTGGTACGGTTTGATAACCAAGGAAAAACTTAAATCACCATATAACATATCACTTACCCACACAGTATCTAGGATCTAGGCGACCGTCCTTGACGTCGCGAAACTTGATAAAAGTGAAACAATCACTTTGTAAGAAAGACCTTAGTAAAGTAACTGAAGTAAGAGCATTCGAACGTATGAAGAAATTGTGTCTAGCCGGTCTGAAACACCCTCCTACAGTTCTGACATTAAACTCTGATAAGAGTATGCAATTTCCTTCTATGAGAATGGATGAAAACCGTTGAGCCACGTCAACATCGAGTAGGGCGTGGATCTTTTGATGCTGTTTAAGATTTTAATATTATGTTGAATCCTTATAGCACAACGAAATAATGATGAATAATAATTGTTACCTTTGAATCTGCAAGGATAAATTCCACCAGCCTATCGCGTAACGCAGGGCATACGAACCTCCTAACAATCTTCACTTTAATTTTTTTGGTAATCATGTCCGGGTGTAGATCTTTAAGATCATCACAAACATCAAACCCTTCTTCGAATATAGTGATGGTGCAATGAGAGAGTTGGGTCATTATAAGAAACAGAGTCAGAGAGCACCTAGTCTAATAGGTTTATAGATTCTAAGGTATGAGATATAAGTTTACTTATATACGCAGAATTAAGGTTATATTCGATATTCCGAATAAAGAAATCTAACATTATATTAAAAATCTCAACTAATAATATTTTTATATAGATTGTTTCCTTTTTGTTGCTGTAACCAATATACGTATAGAAAACTATACGGATACGATAATATCTTCTTTACATTAGTTATTATTATGACGGTGGTTTTCCGTGATCCGAAGGAAAAAAGAATATACACAGATAGAATATCTAACCGAATATTAAAGATAAACAGCAAATACCAAAAGAAGATCCATGAGTAATTGGTTTGTTAATAAAATACGACATATCAAGGATAAGAATACTCATAAGATAACAACATAATCAAAGCAAATTAAAACCGAATCGTCGACTGATACGAACACTGGTTTGAACAATTATTGAGCAAGGCAAAACAACACACACGTTCAGTGAACTACAGCACCATGCACACGTTTCAATCTTCAGAAGCGGTAGAACCTGCCTCATTAGCTTCCTCAGCGGCTAATCTAAACCACAATGTAAACACATGACACGTTAATCACTTTATAAATTAGATTTTCGAAAATAAATAAGACAGTCAAATATTCAAAATGGTACATACATCTCTAGGAATTCTTCAACCTCGGGCATATCCGGGTTGATATCCAACCGGCTACATTTACCAACGGTTTGAACAACATTTTTTCCTGTCATTGTATAATCAGCTATGTTATTATATAGATAAGCCGAGTTTATTTTTTTCAATCCCAAACAAACGTATAGAAAACTATATAGTTAGTATATAGGTCATATACAAACTATTGTGAATAAAAGTATTACCCGAAGATCTATGAATTCCCCACCACTGTAGCACGCATACAATTCGTTCACCCCTAGCTCTTATCCATTCATCATGAAATTGTTCCGCGAAACTCCCGATTGCAATACATTGGATAACATTGTTGCTGAAATAATTTGACGTATAAGTTAGCTTGTTAACTATGTTTATAAAATATATGCATAAACCCGATTTAAAAAAGTCTTACTCGTGATCTTGAATATCGAACACAAGCACAGCAAAATCATATGTCTGTCTACTTGGGTCAAAGTAATGAAGTTCACCAGGATCAACAACAAAACCAATCAAGCCTTGAAAAACGGAAAATGATATCGATAAGAAGAAGGCAAAATTGCAACACAGTCAGAAAATACAATAATTAATGCACAACGAAATAATCTTACTAATCAAATAGGTCTTGTCTAGAGTATCACCCAAGACCTCAGGAAATGATACATCAGAAAGAGTGTGTTCAAGAGCATCCTTTGGTGAAATCTTGTTCAAAATAGTCGTTTCTAGAAAAACGATCCGGTAATCATGCCTGGTGGTTCTTCTACCCTCGGTAACAGTTTTCAGCAGAAAATGATGAATAGCTACCCAATCACCATCTTTGAATTTGGAGTCAAATCGAAAGATGTCTTTATATTTTATCTTGGCCTCTATCCTATGATCCTATATATGATAGTACATAAATAGTCGATTAGAAAAACATGAAACCAAACAAACTTCAAAATATTCGTGAGAAATATAGTAATACATGCGTACCCGCTCATCAGCCAAAACCATTCGAACAGAACGACGACCCCTAGCAGACCTCTCGCGCCATTTGTTCAAGACCTTTACCTGGATGGACCAACAAAGTTTAATAGGTCTCAAATCGCTGACGTCCTCGTCCATAGCTTACAGGACCTTGCCAAATGAAAACCGAAGAGGTGTAACGTGTTCGTTACAAAACGATGTGTCAAACCAATAGGCATCCTCTTATTTATAATAGGCATAGTAATAAATAGAAAACATGGTGACCCTACGATTATAATTCTGAAGACTACAATTTTTTAACTTTTTCTATGCATGGTTTTTATTATCAAATCGAGATCTGACAAAACTATTTTCGATATGTACACGAATCTATATGCAGGCAGAAAATGACAAATAAGATTTGGCCAAGATACATTCAATCAAACGAATGGGGGAGTGATCGTATGGTCCTTTCAAATTATAGACCCATATAAACCTACGATATATATGTCTATAACGTGATTGGTTAGTTTATAACGTAAGTGGCATATAAGAGATTGCGATATCATAGAATATCAGTGCTGTAAACATGTTTTGGTTTAGAGCACGCCGGCTTGTTATAATATATTTATATAAACAACATGTATGATATTACCAGCATTTAATTATAAAAGCTTTTATGGTTTGAAACTCTTGATCTACGATAAAACATTATAATATTCCAAAATAGAATCTGATAGTTTTAGAAAAAATAAAAATAAAAAACCCGCTTATAACAATAATAAAATATGACCAGAAGATATTTATTCGTGCATAATTTTGAATAATAAAAAAAGGTGTTTGACTAATATAATAGCGATAATTCTAAAAGAGACTGGTAAACAAACGTAATTCCGAATTAATTGTTACAACTAAAGTCCACCAGCCCCTCCTGCGAAGTACGTACGCATAGCTGCTTCTTCAGGACACACGGGGTTGAACAAAAGCTTCGTACAGTTGCCTGCAGTAGTTGCCCGCCACTGGCCTATAATTGCATTGCAGATAATTTTTCAAATTTATAAGCAAGGAATAGAGGTTAGAAACGAATACATATAAAGCGTACTCACCTTGAGACATTTCTAACTTTGCGAATCTTAAAACACATATGATGATGTTATCAACACATGTCTTCCAACCATCAAAGAATTCGCGTGAATATTCGCTTGGTAATCGACACTGTAAACGCAGACCACTAAAAAAAAAAAAAAAAGGGAGCTTAGAGAATTTATAGCCCAAAACATGGCTTCAAAATTAAACGTACAAAGACTTACTTTTCGTTCTCTAACTCGAGATAAACTTGATTCCAAGTAATATCCGGTGAAACATCTTCATCATAGTTTCCAACACTCATAACCCGACCAATCAAATCTATAATTAAAATCATGATATCAGTAGGACGGTGGTAGTAATGATAAATTATGGTTAAATATAGTAATCGAACGGTTACATACCAACACCAAAAACAGGATTTAGTAAACCATCTAGTACATCCTGGAACCTCACGAAAGCGAAAAAATATCTGGGTTGTAAAGCTCTCCACTTTCGAACAGAGGTTGAAGGTTTGAGATGAATTTCATACAGATGAGGTGTTGGCCTAAACGTTCCCATAGCAAGAATTAAGTCAAAGTTACTTATTTCAAACCACCTGCCCTCTATGAGTTTTTCTGAATATCCAACAGGAAGATCACTATTGAGAACGGCATGTATCTTAGTACCCTATAATATAAACAGCGTTCGAATTATTGGTTAGATCAAACTATGTTAATTATTTGTGCTAAACTAACAAACTATGTTAATATCATATAAAACAGATGGACAAATACTTACCCTTTTATCGACTAATATTAATTCCAAAGTTGAATTAAACAGTGTGAAACTGTCATATCTTCTAAGTACTCTGACCTTGATTCTCTTTTTTGGTACAGTCGGTACCAAATCTGATACGTCGATGAAAGGAACCATGTCGAGGAAGATGTAACCGAAAAAGCACTAATATGGATGAAGACGATACCGTAAATCCGTCATATATATAATTTTCACGTAAACCTAATATCGTAAATAAAATAATTAAAAGTAAAGATATATACGAATTTTTCCAAATCCGAATATATATATGATTCTATAAAATAGATATGTAACATTATCAGAAGAGAAATTCCATAAAAGATAATATCTAATAAATATATATATATATATATATATGTAATTTGGTAAATAACAGCTTAAATTATACGGATAGCCTTAATCAAAGTCATATAGTTATAGAAAAATAACATTTTAAATCGCCGTAATATTACGCAATCATCAGAAAAGAAATATATATATATTACTGGTATAAAGCAGTACTTATACGTCATAAACTATTTATAATTTTAATATATAGATATACACGAATATTTAACCACAAATTTAGCGCAACACATATTTTTGATTACCGATAAGTCTGTGATAACATATGAATGTCGGAAGTCATCGAAGTGTAATCATTTAACACGATATAAAACATTGTAAAATATAAAATACACATAAGTCTTATAAAGCTGACTAATACAGTAGATATTGCCGCAAACCCCATATTTCATCAAACCCCAGAATCAATATAATAAACGTTAAGCCTTTAGGAGTTTGATAGTAGTAAAAACATAAGTCTGAAAATAGCATCAACGATTATAAAAATTGAAAATGATTAAATATTGAAAATAACACTTCTAAGCTTCGTATGGGAACTATATGTTCTGGAAAACCTCCTTAAACACCACGTTCATTGTTTTCGTCTTACACTTTCCATTCTCATCGGTGATCAAAATCTTCAAGCCTTTTCTCGACGTTACCCTAGATAACGCGACATACAACTGCCCATGGGTAAACACCGGTTTGGGAAGATACAACCCTACATGCTCCAGAGTCTGACCCTGGCTCTTGTTAATAGTAATTGCAAACGCGAGAGCAACAGGGAACTGACGCCGTCTCATTCGAAAGGGAAATTTTGCATCGGGCGGAGACACGAACATTCGAGGGATAAGAACTTTATCGCCAACATGATCACCAGTTATAATTTTAGCCTCTATTATACGATTACCCAACTGAGTGATAAGCAGCCTGGTGCCATTGCATAAACCACTTTTCGGATCCAAGTTCCTAAGCAACATTATAGGCGCTCCAATCTTCAGAGTCAAAGCATGGTTGGGCAATCCGGATACTTTGATACTGTTCAGGAATTCTTGAGAGTAAACCATATCATCAAAGACACTCGTATCAGATGTCTCGATGCTATCCGAGCTAAGGTATTGCACCTCGTCACCTATTTGACGTTAAGTAAGACGACCGATTATATATAAACATTTCAATAATACACATGCATACATTATAAGTTATGCAATCATAATAAATAACGAAAGACTTATACCTGGTAGTCGAGAAAGCATGTGCTGATTTAGTTTATCAACATCATCATTTCTTGGACTGAGAATCGCTCTTTTCTTCCAAAACTTTGGATCTCTTTCGTTTGCATACGTATCACCATATATCTCTCTAACAATAGACTCGATAGGATCTTCGCATTCCGTTATACACAAATCTTCGGGTATGTCGATTTCAACCTCGCCATCGTTTGGTTCGTTGATGTTGCCATCGCCAATATCGAGTAACCATTTAGAAAACCCCATAAGATCAAGTGCATCCTGACTGCCAACACCTTGTCGAAGTCGCATATTTTCTGTAAGTTTAAGAACCTTACAACTATTCCAAAGCAACGACGAATTAACCGAAGCTAAAACGGTAGCAACTCTTCCGCCTTCAGTAACGACAGGTAAAATCTGCCTAAAATCGCCACCTAGTACAACAACTTTACCTCCAAAAACCTTATCGCACTTCATAATATCACGGAAAGTTCTATCCAAGGTCTCGAAACAATGCCTATGCATCATTGGGGCTTCGTCCCATATGATGAGTTTAGCTTCTTTAATCAATTCAGCTGTATCGGATCCGGCGCCGATTTGACACGTGGTAAACTCGTTAACACCAATAGGTATGATAAATCTCGAATGTGCGGTTCTGCCACCTTTCAAAAGCAAAGCAGCTATACCACTCGATGCAACATTAAGTACAATATCACCTCTAGAACGAATATCAGCACCGAGAATATTCCACATGAAAGTTTTACCTGTACCACCGTATCCATACAGGAAAAACATACCACCTTTGTTTTTGTATACAGCATTGATAATCTCTTGATAAACATTACTTTGCTCTAATGTTAACATAGGTAACCACTTATCATAGTCCGCCTTTTCCTTGCTTGTCACATATCGTCTCTCTTCTCGCATAAGACTGTTCTCGTTCCTCCCTATGACGCTGGCATCTGGACGCGGCATATGGTCGTAGTTCCATAGGGAATTTCCATTAGAACGCAAAATGAGTTCTATTTCAGCCAAACATATATTCCATATTTGAGCTTGCGTCAGCATTAGACCTATAAGTGGATTAAGAGAAAACAAATATTTTTCGTCAGCACATCAAGAATTATATACATATATATATTAAAAATTAGTAACTAAACTAAATTTAATATATTATGAAAATATTTATATATGATATAAATTACAGGAGAACATAAACACACCTCGATCTCGTCTGACGTTTCTTTGGTTGAACAAAATATCTTCAGATAATATATCTCTAGTCGCGACCCAAAGGTCAACAGGGACAGCGACACTACCCGAAACCAGTATTATCACGAATAGCTTCCTTAGGTATACGCCAAAACACCACATACTTGCCTCTTTTATAGCCGAAACATATTCTTTGTCGTCGTCTAGTAAGCCCAGCGCAAAACACGCTTCTTTAAACGTTTCGTAAAGAACACCTTTAACCGTTTTTAGGTAGTCGAAACTTGTTGGACCAGGAATCACGTTCAACAAAACTCTTAAATAATAGACCTCACCTAGAGCAGCTGGAACATATGTGATTCTTCCAATGGCAAAACTTTTTCTCTTTTTCGACCGAAGCTTCCACTTTCGCTCATTCCTATACCAAACAAAAGCGGTCGGGAACTCAGCATACGTGAGCGACCTGGCTTCAGGATATATCCTATTGCATTCCATCCACCCCAAAAATTTCGAACCGAGAGTCGAACGAACCATAACATCTTCAACAGGATCGTCCTCGTTGTAAACAACCATTTGTTGTCCAGGAAGGTGGAACGGCAATTTTTCTACGGGTGTAGTGCGATAGCAGATAGGTGAGGATAATATTCGCCACGTTGCCTCACAAGCAGAGACATACCTAAAAACACGGAAATTATTTGGTCGTTAGTGAGTAATTCATATTTATCTATAATATATATAAATAGAAGTAGTTACCGGCAACTATAGAACTTTTTGATTTCATTTTCTTTGTCATCCTCGCCAACAGTAGCCCTAATATAGTCGGGTCCTTTCGTAATATACTTGAAGAGGTACTTCACTGATCGAGTCTGGTTACACCACTCAACATTGATATGCGCACGATAACGAAGAGATAGCGTCCGATTATATGGAATAACGTAACGGTTGTCACAGTCAAAGCCTTTTTTGTGTACAACCCTACCGTCGGCCCGTCGCTTGTATATCGGATACCCAGCATCATCGACTGCTGTATTATTGACAAATTGTTTCGGGAAGAATTTAGTACACATACCATCTTTCATGCATACGCTGTCTTTGTGCGTTACTCCACACGGCCCATGGATCATAACATCAGACACAACTTCGTATAAATACGCATCCAACTCTTTGTCTGGGATTTCCGCGCTTATAAACTTGTCAATATCATCAGCAGTCCTCATTTTAGAATTTGGATGCAAGAAAACAACCAAATGTGCATGCGGTAATCCTCGCTTCTGAAACTCTATTGTATACATGGCTGATAAATGAAAGGAGTATTTAGACATTCATATAAATATAGAATATTATCGTAATATCAACCAAAACCAGGAATTACAAACTTCAAAAAGGCGTATGGTACCTGAGTTAACATCGCCGAACGTCTTTTCTTTTATCACCTGGTGCATAAGGTTATCCAACTTCATTTTAAATACTCGGCAATTAATATCAGGCCTATCTTCTGGCTTAAGCTTGTGTCTGGATAGGTAACGCACGACTTCAGGCCATTTAGGATTACAGGTAATTGTTATGAAAAGATCGGGAAAACCATAATACTTGCAAGTAGCCATCGCATCAAGATAGTGCTGCATCATATATCTCTTACCACCGGTAAAAGACGAAGGAATAAATATCCGCTTGCCTTGATCGGAGAAATCACCGTGACCTTTGTCAGCAGCCTCGACAATTTTATCAAACCTTTCCGTCCGAAGCTTTCTTTGGTTCATCCAGATGTAGTTCAACCTATTAGATTCTATCGTCGTGAATGCATCGACTAAAAACTGCTGGAACAACTTACCCGACATGACAATGGTTGATGATTCGCCAAAACGTTCCATTATACGATAGGCATAAAACTCTCTCATAGTGACCGTCTTTCTCTTCCGTCCTCTCGTATCGACAAATCCGATGTCAATGCCTAATCTGAAACCATCCTCCCCATACGGAAATAACAGAGGATATTGCAAAGGTAAATAAGCCGGATGGAGCTCGCTTATCCTATGCAAACCACCAGAGCGACTTTCTATGATAATATCTCGCTTATTTATACCGCTAGTAAAATCTCCCGGAATCAAAGCAGCGACCTCGTTGCTTGTAGGAAGGTTATGAGTTCTCGCATCTGAGTTTCTTGCGATAGGCAACCGTAACCTCAAGCCTTCAACATTGCTTCCCATGGTAAATCTCTCTCGAGCAGATCTAAACCCTCCAACGTGAGCGTTGTGTTTATCGAGCATTTTCTTGATTAGCTCGACCGTCGAAGCTCTGAGATCTTCAGTGGATCCGGAAGTTCTGTATAATATAATATTTACACAATAAGTTATATCTAATATTACTTTATTAAATATCAAAACAATACATATATATATATATATAGGTATATATGTTTAGATTACCCAAACGCAGCCATCCTGTTGGAGACCTCGTTAACAGTATCATGAATATAGAGCTGAAGAAACATTGGTGTTTTGTCCGGATCGGGCAAGATATCTCCGATACGGTGATAGTTTTCCCCACACATTTGAAATAGGTACGGCCCTCTGCCATTATTAATTGAGTGATTGATCGTTCCACCCAAAGATGTGAAGGAAAACATCATATTGTACGCCCTTATATTGTCTCGGAAATTGGTGCTTCTATCATCGTGATTGTAAAATAGAGATGACAACGTATTCGGGGGAGTCTTGAGTGGAGGAAGCTTGACTTTTCCCTTATGACAACACATTGAAAAAATAGGTTTACCCCTTTTAACCCTTTTGTTTAGCCGCTCTCCATACCACATATATGCTCCACAATGTTCACACATGTACGAAGGATCTCCATCGTCGTAATAACCTTCAGGACAATTATAATTGGTTATGATACAAAATTTAATACATTCCTGAAATAGTCTTAATGTATATAACGAACCATTAGGTTGTAATCCCGCTTTTGTGGCCGCCTGCGTAGACCCACCAATAGCAGATGTAGCACGGTGGTTGGGAACACTCTCTGCGTCCGACTCTTCAGACAAACTATCATAATCCTCTCCCCTTTCCGACTCCGAATCAGTGGCAACAAAGCACACAAAATCATCGTAGATGCCAGGCATAGGCATAGCAGCTATACACAATTTGACGAATTAATTCAGTACTATCACCGTATCAGTCAAACTATTAATTAACAATCACGAAAACTTTACCTCTTTTGCGTTTATTTTCTCTTTTTGTTTTTAAAATCCGCATCCTGTTCAGCCTCGCCCATCCACTTAACGTTGTTGGTATTTGAGAAAAGTCAATGTAATTCCGACCAGTGTTATGAGGCGATAATTCGGGTGGAAGAGTCCAACTTTCAGAAAAAAAATAAGGAATATTTTTTGAACAACCCGCTTGTCCAATCGATTTACCACCTAATAGAATGTTATAAATAAAATTACGTTAGTTAATAAACTCACCAATAGTTTCGATACGTTAAATTTCAATATAAGAACACAAAATAGAAACTATAGTGTGTCGCGTCGTAACACACATCGACTCACGTTTTATAGCTAGTGCCTGTCTATGCGCCTTGCTTCCATCCAATAGAGGACCCTCCGTAGTCGCCTTCTTCCGTGGCGCCATGGAAAACTTGCATTAATACAAAACACATAATTTTGTTAGCATGAATAAGGAGATATAATTTAGCATGCATGGCAGTGTTTACTAACTTCCCAATATTGCATACTATAGGAAGCAATCTATGGAACCGAATTTAAAAGACGGACCAGTTAACAACCTTTTGCCAAAAGAAGATTCAAACAGTTGATAACCTTAGACCCGTATCACGTTCGGATTGAATTTTCTTTGTTAGGTATGACTTGTGGGATAGAAGAAAGTTCAGAGAGCGTATATATATATTTATATATATTAGTTAGATATATTCGAATTCGGCATAATAAATAACCAGGAAAATACCAAATATTTGCTAGGGTTTATCCTAAGATTTTGTTAATATGTAAAAGTACAATAAAACGCATTTTTCCATTTAATCACGCTGAATTAAAGTAGTAAATATCCAAATAATAGGCAAGCATAGATAGCGATAAATATAAAATATATTAGATTTACTAATCAATAAACTGCACATTTGTTTACACCGATTTAGTTTCATATAAGATTATATTTAGTGTGAATAACATAAATCTAAGAGGCATCGATAAAGTTGACGCTATAACTGGTTGTTTTCCGTAGTGACAAAGCCATTTTTTTTAAGATAAATTGTTTAATATTTATGATTCACGGCCAAACACTGAATTTTTTTCCGATCAAAGAAAATACGGATTGAACAGAGTTCTAATACGCGTGTATTACAGTGAGTGAGTTGAAGTCACACGATTAGCAAGCCTCACATGGCCGAAAGAGTTACAATCATACAATAATAATAATAGGCATATTCCATTAGATCGATGTCTGATACATGAAGAACAAAATAAGGTGATGAACAGAAACGTCTAGAGTTTAATAATAATGTAGCCCAAAAAAAAAAAAAAAAGTTATGATAAACAAAAAACTAAAACATATAAAACTAAGACGATAATGTTATGACATAAACGCAACATATCAAAGTTATCATCCATGAGTTATCCGGAATCCTCAGAAACAGCCAGCGCAATTCTATAAGACATCCAAAAGAAACATTAATTAGAATTTAGCAACATATATGTGGACAATTCCCAATAGTTCCAAGTATTCGGAAACTTACATCTCACGCAACTCGTCGGCTTGAGGAATATCTGGATCTGGGAAAACGGTTGAGACAGGACCGTATGTGCATATTTGCACATTTTGTGGACCATCAAAATAACGATCTACTTTCCACCATCCCAGCACAGCCACAATAACTCCACCGCCACGACTGTGATAGCTCCGACTGAAATCAAGAGCCTGCTCTTTCGTAGCCAAGCATTCCAATACACGGTTGCTACACAAAAAAATAAAGAATTTATATACTAAAGTAAATCAAATTATAAAAAGTTATAAAATAAGCTCACTCTTTGTCTCTGAGTTTGAAACAAATCCTTAAACCATCGACACAATTTTGCTTAGGCCTAGTGTTCTCCAACTCGCCTACATCATATATCGCCCCAACCAAGTCTAGTATACAATTGTAAAAGCGAGTATGAATCATTAGGATTGAATATGAACAAATCGATTAGGCAATTTTCCAAGAAAATAAAATAATAAAACAAATTAAAACGGTGTTTACCGATTAAAACCGACGTATCGACTTTATCATCGATAATAGAAGAGAAAGATGTCAAAGCGTAGTGAGGATTAGCAACCACAGCAATGGTCTTCCTAACAACGGTATCTTTGGAGAAACAAATCTTGAACTTGTGAGATGTTACCCTAACGGGATTCGAATTCGGAACAACCCCAAAACCCATGATGGTTATCCACTCGCCAGCATCAATGAATTCATCATAGTGGTCCGCAAATTCTTTTCCGATCATAGCCTCAACCGTCACACCCTTCAAAGTATACATGCAACCATTGCTATATCAGCACCTCAAAGTCTAAGATCTGGACAAACAAATACCTGAAATCGGAATTACTTACACGCTCGTCGGCCAAAATCAACCCGACGGTCTTGAACTGTGCATTGAGAGGAACCACGAAAGATCTCACAACCCTGAGACGTACATACCATCCGGTTATAGAGGGTCTTATCAACTCAAGATCGTGAAAGAACTCCATATTCTTTGGCGCAAAAGCTTCTTAGAACAATGATTTCTCTATCGAGGGTAGATTTTTTTGTAATCTTTTCCTTTTTAATTTTTTTTTTTAAGGCAAAATATCAAGTCGTTTATATATACAACCGATGATACTCATCAATAAGCCGGAGAATTAGGCAAGTATATTCGTTGTGTCGGCGTTAGAAGGAAAGTAATGATGGTTCGCGTCTAATCGTAATATACGATATCAGACAAAATCTATTATCAGAATTTAGTAGCTTAAAAAATTATTTTAACTAAGGGACTAATGATGGAGCCGAATTTAATTAAACTATTTGCCTAAAGAGATAATTACGATCCTCATAGAAAAATTAAAAACATAAATACACACGTGTATATCGAATATTTCCGTTTGCGTAATATAAATCATCGAATAACAATATAAAACTTGTTAATATTGAAGCGCTAACACTTCATATATATCCTAAATATTAAAACATAATTTATTCCAGATTTTTAAATAGAATAGTTATTTAGAATAAACCCATAAGTATTAGAAGCCGAAATAGTCAGAAAAAACCAAAACCAAGAAATTAAAAAAAAGAAAAAAAAAACAAAACAAAGCATTGAAAGATTTGATTAAGTGAGCTTCTCGAGTTTGGGCTTCTTTCTGGTCACCATCTTAGGAACCGCGACCGGACCCGGTTTCACGTCATCAACGCTCCTTTTAGCCGAAGGAGGACTGGCATCTACAACAGAAGGCTCTACCACCTCACTGCTCGCCTTGATGCTATCACATGCAGAATCACTCGTGACGGACAGCTCCTATGAATACAGGCAACATCAAGTAGTATTAGAAAGTAGAAATACTAACATTAAAACAAAACGGAAAAAATAATAAGAAGGAAAAAATAACCTTTGCAAATTGTTCAACCATATCCTTTTTTTCCCAAAACTTCTCGACAACATACGCAGCCTTCATACTCTTCAAATTATCAGCACCAATTGATATCTTGAATAACATGGTTCTGCCCATCAAATCAGCAAGAAGCTCGGGCAATATGGAAGGATCCGTCTGATCAAACAAATAGAACAATAAGTATATCACCAAGTCTCATTCCAGTAATTTTTTTCCAAGATATAGGTTAATACAAATTGATAAAAAGAACACAAACTATTTTACGGACCTCTGGAACTTCCGCAAACAGCTCAGCAGCAGTTTTACCAATAAGACGTTGAGCCAAACCATCAAAGAAAAGTAATTTAACCTCAGGAGAAGCTCCATAAGACGCACGCAGAATGAGCTTGTACCTATATAGATCAGAAGACAAAGTTATTAACAAATAGAACACGCTAAAAAATTTGTTAATGGACAGCCCATAATCTTGTAACGGTCAAAGACCATACGAACCTATAACTAACGTCGATAACGTCGGCATCGCATACACCACAACTATAGATAGGACCATCGTCGTCATGAGAACCATGTGGATACGGCTGAACCTTCTTACCACAAACTTTGCATGCAATATAGTACCATTTAGGCATAGCCTCGATGAAACAGATTTTGGCTATGGTGACGCATGTGGCCACCTAATTAAGGCAAAACATAAATAAGGGTTAGACTATGCTAATTTCCAATTTTAACGACACACCAACGTATTACGTGGTAAGACACTTACATCACATGCATACACAATATCATCAACAGCTTTCTTTTCGTTCAGTAGAAAGAACTCCTCGTATAGAGTAACCGCAGGCTGATTCGGTTTAACCTCATTATCCACATGGATCAAATCATCACTACCAGCCGGTAACCTGTATAAAGAACACACAACAAAATTGTGTGGTTAATAATGCGTCACAACGTTAAAACACTAATATATTAGAGAAAAAAGAGACATATACTTTTGCCTGAATTTTTGGACTTCAGGAATAGGCGGATTGAAGAGTATATCCGTTGAACTAAATGCATTAGATATACTGATAGTACCTGAGGAGAAATAATGTGAGAGATGACTTATACACAAATAATATTATAAAAATTATAATATCGAGGATATTACCTTTCCATTCTTTGATGCACGCAAGTCTAATGACACACACAATTACAGGTTCTTTGTTGTTCTTAAAATACGAAGAGAAATTTGTAGCAAGATCACCCCATATAGTACACGCCAAACGCTGCCCACTTTTTAGTAAAAAAAAAAAAAATTAATATAAGGAAATAATAATCAAATAAAACTGGAAGAGAAACGATAAAACACAAAACAAAGAAAATTACCCCAAATTTTGTATTTCGAAAGTCAACTTAACAGTATCTTTGCCCTTCGCTTTAACGTTATCAAGACTTCCGACATCAACGATTTGTCCAAGCACATCTACCAATTGAATAAAAGAGAGGGTTAGAAAATAACATTATATTACCAACCACAAAAAAAAAAAAAACGATGAATATTAATACTAACCAAACAATATCTGCCTGTCTAATTTCCCGGACAAAATTTCAGCAAACTCCTTCAAATACTTCTCGGTGACTTGAGAGGGAAAATCGTCACAGGGTTTCACCATAGTAGTCCTATAGAAGACTATTTTGAAACCTAAGGGACTCGTCCTATAGTCACCGTCATAGTCAACAAAACCGAAAGTGTCGATTATCCTGGCTTCACCACTAATAAACTGGTGCTGAAACCTCTTTACCAATCCCTCTTCGATGGACGCATGAACTCTCGTTCCCTAATAATGCAAAGATCGGAATAAAAAGTCACAACCAAAAGACAACATATACATTATAAAAAAGAATAGTTTGCTAAAAACAGAAAAATACAACGATACCTCTCCATCCACCAGAACCATCTCTATAGATTTAAACGCTCGCCAAAGCCTAATCACACGTACTTTAATCTTGTATCGATCTAGAGCAGGATTAATCTCCCTCAGATAAACAAAAGAATTCGGAAGAAGAGACGCCATGAGCAATATAATGATAGGTACGATGACTTTAAGAACGTATGATTATATCGATAATGGATGATATAGTCTCTATATATAGGCTCGAACAAACCGACTCTATAATAAAAATTAGGATTTGTATTTATCATAATTGTATAATATCTAAACCGAATCTAAAAATAAAAAGAGAAAAGGTAAACTATATCAGCGATTAACATTTAAATATATAAATATAAAACAGGAGAATACAATTAACTTTTTTAAAAAAGAAAATGTATAATCTGGTGAAATTTATGGAAGATAATGGCGTAAAATTAATGGAAGATAATAACGTAATTTACCTGTATTACATTCGTCTGAGAGATTTATTATTATCATAGGGCAAATCAAAACGGAATTTTTACTTAATTATATTAGGGTTTTCATATTATGTTTAGAGAGAAGAAGGTAACACCAAAGTTTTAGAATATTTTTAATTCTAACGATGTAACAAATGAATAGATATATCCTAAATTTATATGACTTTTACACGTATATAAATTATGCATGGGGCAGTTATAACGATCGATTGTATACAATAGTCCTGTTTTTATAGTTCGTTAGTAAGATTTATGATGATAACGACTTAAATGTAACTATGATTGTCATCAATGCGAGGGTCTTATAGACATAGAGATAAAACTTGGGGTAAACATTTTATTAATTAAGAGATCATGAATGTTAACATAAATTAGGATAAAGATTTCATAGGCGTAAACGCAAAAATAACAAAACCAAGCATGTTGTTTCTAGAAACTTAATTAACACGGGAAAACACGTGTATCACCACGGAAACTCGTCTTCAGTCTCTGCAAACAGGGACTCCATCTGACTAACTTCGGAACATGGAGGGTTCAATAAAACGCTCGTACAATTGTGCACCGTCGTGGCTCGCCAATTCTCTACAAAATATGACAGAACACTTTTTGATAAATACACAAATTATCAGGGAGTATAAAAACGAAGGGCGGGGAGATATATAAGGAATACCTTGATCCACTTCCAGTTTAGCAAACCTCATGACACATATTATAATTTTGTCAACAGAATGCCGCCAATGGTCAAAGAAGTCGTTCGCATATGCCTTTGGAAGACGGCATGTCAGCTTATCACCTCTGAACAAAATATAACAATTTAAACAGCCTGTTTATACAACGAATCACATAAAACAATGAGGAAAGGAAAGAGATTTAATACATAACAACGTACTCAATGTTTTCGATGTCGAAAAAAATCTCATTCCACTCGTTGTCAGGAGGTCCTTCTTCATTCCGATTCCCTACGGCCACAACCCTTCCAATCAGATCTGTATTTAGGATTTTTAAATCAAATACAATATTAGAGCAAACAAATTTCTATGATATTTGAACTAAATGAGGGCGGTATGGTGTGCCTTCTTACCGACGCATATATTTGTATCCAAAGAGCCGCTTTTAATATCTTCAAAAGAGGCAAACGCGAAGAAATTATCATAACTCATAGGTTGGATATTCCTAAACCAAGTCGTCGATTTCCAGTGTATCATAAAACGATGATCGGTAGGCCTAAATGTTCCAATCACGCGACTGAGAGAGAAACTCGACAAACTTATCCATGATCCTTCTGTCAGTCTCATAGAGAAGATGTCTTCGAATTCAATACCCATAACGGCATGTATTTTCTGACCCTATATATGTAGTCATGTAGATATATATGTATCTTTTTAGTCAGTATATTAACATATATAAAGGTAAAAAACTATATTATGATGTAGAAAAAATACCTTGTCATCAACTAATATCAAATCAAAGGTCTTGTAGCCAGTAAAAGAACATGTGAACTTTCTTAAAATTTTGACTTTAATTTTCCACTCATGAATATAAGGATTCAGAGCGGAAACATCAAACAGACACTCTCTCTTACCAATTCTCTTTTTAATAGCATGTGAAAGTAGATGAGCCATCGTAGGAGAGATGCAAAAAAGGTGTTTTTTTCAAACTTGGAAAGCAAGCGAATGTCGATCCCTATATATATAGTTTAGTTGAAGAGCTCTCGAAGATGTTAAATTACCTTTATCATAGATTCACGCTTGTAGGGATAAAGGTAAATATCTATAATAAAGGTAAATATCTATAATCATTATCAGTTAATTTAATTATTGACAATTTGTGTTCAGTATATATCTTATTAACAACTTGGGTTAAATATATATAATACTATTAATTAAACCGACATAGTAAGCATGATAAGAATTTGATTGACGAACATTATATTTTTTCATGTTGTTCGTAGGATCCAGATCGAACCAATTACGCGTCATTCACGTACCATGACGTCAATAATCTCATTAGTATTGGACGTGAATATGGAGAGGATAATAACTGTTTGAAGTTTGTATGAAAGAGTATTAGGGTGATCGAATCCTCAATAACTCGAGATAATGTCGAATCATTTGATAGTATACACGGTCAATTAATTTTTTTTTTTTTAATAAGTCAAATTATCACGTAGGCACACGAAACATCAATATTTCGTTTAATCGCACGCAGAATTTTTGTATGAGATAGAAGACAAATATGTTATATATCAGAAGTTATTAAATATCGTTCGATTGAGAATATTATCATATATGTTTGAGATACAACACAATTATTTAAGATATCATGCGAGTAATCAGATTGTGACAATAGAATACGATATTTCAATAGAACGTAAACGGCCAAAGTAGTGTAAAACGTAAAAAAGAAAAAAACCCGTAAGAATAAAAATTCATAAAACGATATTTCAATAGTACGCAAACGGCCAAAGTATTATACTATAAAATGTAAAAAGGAAAAAACCCCATAAGAATAAAAAATCATAAAGTAAAATATCCCCAATCAGGAGCAAGAGATAATTATTTCTTCTTTGGAACACTTGTGCGAGTCCGCTTCCTTGAGATCCTATTACGAAACAAAAATTTAAAACCGTTAATATATAAGCTAGTCATGGAGAATACGTATAATTCTAAGAATTCATAATATAACGACTCACGATGTCCTAAACTCAGCAACTTCTGGAATGCCAGGATTCAGACGGATTTGAGTGCATTCTGTTGCAGTTATAGTTCGCTTATCTAATAGACAGTAAAAACTTATTATTATTATAGAAGATAATGGTAATCACAGCAAATCAATAAAATAAAAATTCAAGATACAAATCCGTACGTACCTTGAAACACATCCACGACACCCCATCGGATCACACAAATAATAACATCGTATTGCCACTTCTTAAAAGACTTGTAGAAATTGACTGCCTCATAACCGACCAATTCACACTTTAAGACATTATTACTATAACACAACAACATAAACCTAGTGTCAATATCTGGAATTTTTTATAAGAAATAGATCCAAATGGAATAGAATTGAGTATCATAAAAAAAAAAAAACACACTCACATATTAAGTTATAAGACAAAATACGTACCTGGAGTCACGAAGATCAAAAGAGATCTTATGATGAACGGAATAATCGTCCAATTTGTCAGCTTTACGTTCTTCAACCGGCTTACCATCGCAACCATCGAGGTTATCTTCCTCCGACTCAGACACAACGCTATATTCTGAGTCAACATCCTCCTCATCATCTTCGACACTGTATTCATAATCATCCTCTTCCACTTCATAGAAATCATCATCGGACTCAGCCGCACAATCACTGTCATCGCATTCGTCATAATCGTCTACAAAATCGTACTCGTCCTCGCTTACCTCAGAAGCATCATCATCAGTACTCGCAATGCGATCGTTGACCTCGTCAGTGTCAGCATCTTGTTCATCGTTATCAATCTGATACTCAGGATCATCTTCTACACGACCCTCGTCTTCGGTACACGACTCTTCGTCACTATCGTCGTCACCGGTCAGCTCGTCGACATCATCACTGTTGTAACCATCCAATGACCCGGTACTAACACTTTTGATGACGATATCTCCAGGAGGCTTTAGGCATGTATTAATCAATCTTTTAAGATAAAAATTTTTCGGTAGAGAGTCACCATCCTCGGTACCATCGTCCTTTTTATAACCATCCAAACGATCCCAAGTTGGAAAGTCACTAACATGAATGACTTGCCCGATAATATCTGAGAATTATTTATGTTAACGTTAGTATCACAAGTATGTTTAATCCATTAACAAATAAATTTAAACGTTATCTTAAAATACTTACCAACCAAGTAATCATCAGAATGAACGCCATCTGTAATCTTTTTAAAATCAACGAAATCAAAGAAACTATCATCGCGCATAACAGACGCCATATCGATTTCAGTTGAATACAAAACAATTATTTTGTATCGATGATTAGTGGCCCTGCACGAACCATACTGCTCAACAACTTTAAAATCTTTAAAATCAAACCAATCACCAGGAGTAATCTTAGAAGCAGAACGATGGTAAGCACATCCTCTAAATGAAGCCTGCACCTTTGTACCCTTCCAAAAAGAACAAAAAAAAAGAAAAAAAGTACGATTAGAACAGAAACCCAACAATCATAATATATGGGAAAAGATTATAATTCACAAACCTTACTATCGGACAGGATTACTTCGAGACTTGTACCAAGTCCACGCTCTTCATGGTGCCATACATTCAGAACCCGCACCCGGATAAGCCAATCAGTCCTAGAAGATTCCAAGAGCGAAACATCGTCAAACATCCTGTACCTCATAACCTGGCAAAATTAAGTAATGAGAAAGAGCAGAAAGGGCCAAATCGCCATGGAAAGCAATAATATCATAACGAAGTCGTAGTCATTTATTGAATAAAGATTCTTACAATGGGAACAAAAAATCGATTATGTCTAGTAGATAACCACGATGGTGTAGGGTAGGTATGTGTCTATATATATATATAGAGATATACGGATAGACTCAACCGAAGTAATATAATTATAGAAAAATAACATTTTAAAATCGTCGTGATATAGACACAATCACAAAAAGATCAATAAATATGACAAAAACATGATATTCATATTTATCTCCAAAATTCGCAGTTACCAAATAGACTAATGAGAATATTTGGTATAACATTAAAAATCTTTTTCTAAAAAGAAAATTAACATAATACTCCATATAATTACATAAAGAGGAAAACCGTTCAACCAAAGTCATATATTTATAGAAATTAACATTTTAAAATCGGCGTGATACACACACAATCAAAAAAAAAAACAGTAAATACTACAAAATCATTATATTCATATTTATCTCCAAACTTCGCAGTTACCAAATCAAACACCGAGAATATTTAGTATAACATGTAAATACTTTTTTTACAAAGAAATTAACATAATACCCCATACAATTATATAAGGAGGAAAAACCGTTAACGATAAACACAAATTATTATGCTAAAATGTCAACATTCATATATTCGCATATTCAGTCTAACAAAAAAAAAAAAAAAAAAAAATGAAACATATAACTTCCAATGAGCAAAACATATAGAAATATACAATAAATTTTTTTTTATATAATCAACAAAACGGAAAAATAGAAAACTGTTTAATATTATAGAATATTTGTATATATCAATATTCAATATAATCTCGAAATATTTGGCAGTAAAACATATTAAGTAGTTGTTATCATAATAGTTTGTTTTTATAATAATTTGTTTTTATAATAATTGTTTAATAGTTTCTAATACTTGTATATATCAGTATTAATTACTATCCCGAAAGATTTGGTAGTAAAACATAATAAGTAGTTATTATCTCAATAACTTTGTTTGGATAATAATATTATATAGTATAATATCCAATTACAACAATAATAATTATGTGTATTATAATATTAGATAGGATAACCTCAAAGATCATATCAAATCAACCACAAAGATCATATAAAAAAGAAAATGAGATATATACCGTTATAGATGTTATTGATATATACGTGTTTTAACTTGATGTATGTAACACGAATTATTAATTATTAATAACATCTATAATAAACTGAGGCGAGATTACATCATTTTTAGCAGCATACGTTTTAAGATTAATAATCGTGCTTTATTTCTCCAAGAACAGGTAAATTGGGTATAGCCAAACAAATAAGATAGTATCAAACACGCCGTAGTTCACATGGAATACCGATATAAAATGCCATGTCGCCGATTAGGTATAAACTATCGCATACATATTCAGAGTATTAATATTCGCAATAGCAAATATTTCGCCGTTAAAAAATTAGAATCAGAATTTAGGTAATATCATTCCCAAAGACGATAATCTCAACATATGCAAAAGTATTTTTATTCGCAATAGCAAATATTCCGCCATTAAAAAATTAGAACCAGAATATAGGTAATATCAGTCCCAAAGACGATAATCTCAACATATGCAAAAGTACTTTATTCAGTAATACGAAAAGATTTCGTTCAATAATATGAATTTAGTATAGTCAACAAAGATATCATAATCAAAATCTAAAAATACATCGAGATATCGATAGCACGATAATGATAATTATAAGTCCGGAAACCCGTCTTCCAGTCCATACCGACTTGTGGCCTCTTTTTCATACGTTCCGGACCACGCCGCGGCCGATGACTACTCTTCATAGGCTCCATAATATAGAACACATCATGCTGAACAGATTTAAAATTTACATATCACATAAATATATATAACACAATAAAAAAATGCGTTAAAAAAAAACAACACGTAAAAGAAAACAGATCGTACCAGAGATAATAAGGCCGCACGGTCGATCCATCGCCGATCGTAACTATATGATCACGCAATATTAGAGCAATAAAATTAGTTATATTTTTGGGTAAAAAACGCATAAATCAAGCAAGATTATGGGAGATACCTCAGTTTGGTTTGAGCTTCGTTTGCAATTCCATGATCCAAGAAATTTATGCTTGTACCTGAGGAAAGAATTAAGTGCTAATCAGAGCTATGAGATTTATCATGCATATATAAAACCAAACAGCTAAGGAAACCAAAACATGTAATCGACCAAACTATAAACCTCGCGTAAACAACTCATCACAAACTGGCAAAGATCTTTGGGATCTTACTTTCCAAGTGACCATAACATACAAAGGAGAAAAAAAGACCGACGACGATGCATCATAGAAAGGACAAAATTTGAGGTACAAAAAAGTACTATAAACCATAATTACTATGCATAAAAATCAAGCTGTGATGTTTGAGTTTCAATGGAGGCATCCTATATTTATAGGGATTTCCAGCCTAAGATTTTAGGGTTTTAAGCGAACATGACGGTGTAAATTATACCGGGCCATTTTTCCCATAAAAGTAAAAGCCCAATAAGCGAATGGACGAAGTATGGTTATAGAAACAAAACCGTATATTTCCGTTTTTCATAATTTCGTTTTTATTAACAAAAAATGGAAATTTAACTAATTTAATTAAATTAAAGGGGGGGGGGCAAAAACGACTGCTCATATTCTGAGAGCGAACGTGAGCACTTTCGACTTCTCCTTTAATATATAAGATATACATTTTTGAAGTACAAATGTGAAATAAATCCTAGAGTTCCACCTTATTTACGAGTCCATGCCATTGGCATTTATTATTTAGTTTTACAAAATTTAAATAAAAGATATTAACCAAACGATATCTTGCCTAATTTGTTTCTAAAAATCTCTACACAATCTTTCCATATATCTTCAAATAAAATTTCCGTGAATTTTACTCCACAAAATATCCATAAAACCGATTTATAGCAAATATTTGTATTAACATTTTGCATAGCAATAAAAATACTAATTTATAACAATCAAAATATTCACATAGAAAAATCATATATTGTACACATACATGAAAAAAAACTATATGTATCATCATTTAAGCCGTTGATTTATTTTAAAAAAAAAAACACAAAAACTTGAAATCATATACTTTATATGATAAATTTAAAATATATATTAGTAGTATAAAGTTAAAATTATTCAAGGAACGGTATACCACGGGTGAGATCCTAAAATTATTGGATATTATAACAATAATAATTTATTTTCTTGGATTTTATAACACTAATAATTTAGCTAACGGGATAATATAGACGGATTTATATGGGATTAAGGGTTTGGGTCGATATTAATAAAGAACGGTATATCACGGATGAAATCCTAAAATGAAACAATCAAAATACAATTATACAACTTTAAACACAAAAAATATTAACAAAACAAATACAATTTAAAATTTAAATTTTTTTTTTTTTTTTTTGTCAACCACACATTAATTAATAAATAATTCCTTGATTGGTTGCCCAATTAGGAGGAGAAGAGTTTACAAAAGTAACTTCAGAAAATAAAAGTCTAGAAGAACGGGCTAAGCAGTCCGCTTGAACATTACATAAACGAGAAATAAGAGAAAGCGAGAAGAAAGGGAAAGAGACACGGAGAAAACCAAACTCGTCTAGAAGATTGGAGAAAGCAGGCCATTCATCTGGTGACTGTATCATCGAGACTAACAGGCCATTCATAAAATTTTTAGTTATAAAAAAATCGACCCACAGTATACCGCGGAATAAAATATTCAAAATTTTAAAATCCATCATACATCGTTACTTAAAAAAAATGTATGTTTTCGTATCTATACTTCAAAAATGGAAACCTAAACAATAATAATCATAAACTAAATAATACATAGATAGATATCTACATTTAAAAATATAAATTAATATGATATATCTTCAGTTAATCTTTTAAAAAATAAGATTACATTTTTTAAAAAATATAGCCGCGCGGTGTACCGCGGGTTAAATTCTAGTCTTCTACATTAATGATAATCTTACACAACACAACACACTCATACAAATACTACTTTTCTAATTGCAACACACTTGCACTTAGACCTAATCATGACTCTTATACAAGACAAGTAGCCACCCTACACATTGACATTGGAACACTAGTTCTTTGTTTCACTCTTCTATACTCTAACTAGGACTTAGTTTACTTTAGTTATCACAACCTCTTCTTGTTGGACCTTAAATAAAACCACCACAAAATACTTATTCGTATGGGCCTTATCTGATCACCAATGGCCCAACACACAAAACACAAACCCATTTGGTTTGTTGACTTTCCGCTCTTTCTTTGACTCTTCTCTTCACGATGTCTCTTCTCCGACATCGTCTTCTTCTTCTGATGCTTCTTCTTCTGTTCTTCATCTTCTTCTCCTCAAGGATACAATTCCAACACATTTCCTCCTCTAAGCATTCTAATGCTTCCTAGGCTTTCTCTTTTTCACAAGATCATCAAGAAACCAAAGAGGTGGAAGAGGAAGAAAAGAAGGAGTTGATTGAGAAATCTGAGAAGTTCTTTGAGAACATGAAGAGATTCACATCCCTCCAATATTAAATTTTTTTGAAAAAGGTGACATACCATGATTTATTTGGTTACTACATTTTAAATTTTTGATTGTTATGTTTGCTCCAATATGTCACAAGCTGTAACTTTTTATTTTCTGGCAAGCAAATGTCCATATCTTCAGGAGTTCTCATTACCTCGACCAAATGGTTTTGCAATTAGTGAAATGGTTAGTTTCAAATTCTCTGAAATAGTTAGTTCAAATTCTCTGCAACCTTTTTTAGCTGTCTGCTTTATAAGGTTGAATTATTACATCATCTCTAGCTCAACGTATGATGGAAACCGCTATTTTGTTAGAGTAAGAGTTGGATCAAATCAAACGGAAACCATCAGTTTGTGTATTATAATTTGCTTTTATCCGTTATATCTTGTTTTCAAGGTTTAAATATCAGATAATCAATTTGCAGTGAAGATCAATTGGTGGATATTTTTGTATAAAGATTTGAGAAGATGATATGAGGGATGC